AACTGAAGAAGGCCTTCACTAACCCCCCGGTGTTGCAACATCCTAACCCAACGTTTCCTTTTGTTGTAGAGGTGGACGCTTCGGATTCAGGGGTGGGGGCGGTACTGTCTCAGCGATCCCCAGTCGACCAGAGACTCCACCCTTGCGCCTTCTTCTCACGTCGTCTCAGTCCAGCTGAAGCAAACTATGACGTGGGGAATCGGGAACTGCTGGCTGTCGTCATGGCCCTACAGGAATGGCGACACTGGCTCGAGGGGACTGAGGAACCTTTTACGGTGTACACTGACCACAAGAACCTTGCATACATTCGCTCGGCCAAAAGACTCAACTCACGTCAAGCCCGGTGGGCACTTCTTTTGACACGGTTCAACTTCACTCTTACTTACTGTCCTGGTTCCAAGAACATACGACCGGATGCTCTCTCCCGGATCCATGACCCCGCGGAGAAAAGCAGCGAACCACAAAACATTCTTCCCGACCATCGAATTTTGGGGGCCCTTCAATGGGAGATCGAACGGAGGGTTCAGGAGGCCCAGAGCAGAACCCCAGTCCCGGCTGGCTGTCCCACAGGGCAACTTTTTGTACCCCCACCTCTACGCTCTGACGTATTGCAGTGGGGTCACTCGTCTAAGGTTGCGTGCCATCCTGGGGTGAACCGGACCTTACAACTTGTCTCCCAGCGATTTTGGTGGCCGGAGCTGCGGAAGGATCTACGGGATTTCGTCAAGGCCTGCCCCGACTGCGCACGCAGTAAATCATCCCGTCAACTACCGGCCGGGTTGCTACGGCCTCTCCCCGTTCCGCCTCGGCCGTGGTCCCACATCTCCATGGACTTTGTCACAGGCCTACCTCTTTCTCGGGGCAAGTCCGTTATACTCACCGTTGTGGATAGATTCTCTAAATCGGCCCATTTTGTTGCTTTGTCCAAACTGCCGTCCGCACTGGAGACCGCCGACATCCTCATCAATCACGTCTTCCGTCTTCATGGAATCCCGGGGGACATTGTGTCTGACCGGGGCCCTCAGTTCGTCTCCCGGGTATGGAAGCGGTTCTGTCGGGCCTTGGGGGCCACGGCGAGCTTATCTTCTGGATACCACCCGCAGTCCAACGGACAAACGGAACGCGCTAATCAGGACTTGGAGGCAGCGCTGCGCTGCGTGTCTCCACTGCCCCTCATCTTGGTCGACTCACCTGCCGTGGGTGGAATACGCCCACAACACCCTTGTCTCGTCTGCCACCGGTCAGTCTCCGTTTATGTCGGCTTATGGTTATCAGCCTCCTCTGTTTCCTTCCCAGGAGGGTCAGGTGGAACTCCCGTCCATACAACTCCACCTGAAACGGGCCCATCGCGTGTGGAGAGAGACCAGGGCTGCGCTGTCGCGCACGGCCACGAGGAACCGGCAGATTGCGGACCCCCGTCGTCGCCCTGCGCCTAGCTATCAGGTGGGGCAGAAAGTGTGGCTGTCGACGAAGGACCTGCGACTGGCAGGGACGTCACGCAAGTTGGGGCCTCGCTTCTCAGGACCGTTCGAGGTGGAATCGGTCATCAGCCCCGTCTCCGTCAGGCTCCGGCTGGCACCCTCCATGAAGGTGCACCCCGTCTTCCACGTTTCCCTGCTTAAGCCTGTGACCGCCAGCCCCCTGGCTCCTCCGCCCACATCACCTCCTCCTCCGCGGATTGTCGACGGCGACCCGGTGTACACTGTACGGGAAATCTTGGACTCACGGCGCAGGGGCAAGGGCTTCCAGTACCTGGTCGACTGGGAGGGCTACGGCCCGGAGGATCGGCAGTGGGTCCCCCGCTACTGGATCTTAGACCCGTCCCTTCTCCGTGCTTTCCACGCTGCGCACCCATTGAAGCCGGGTGGTCCGCCAGGAGGCGTCCGTTGAGAGGGGGGTACTGTCATGGTTCTGTTTTTCGGTCTGGCCAGCAGGTGGCATGAGTTGTCTTCGGGGTGCACACCTGCGGCCAATCTGTAATTATGAGACTTTGTATTTAAGGACTCGTTTGCTGTGCATCTGTGTCGGAGTATTGTTTATTGCATTGCAACTTCCACGCTTATTGACTCGTTACCTGTTCTCGTTCTCGTCGTGTTTTTCGCTCTGGTTTTTCGGTACCATTATTCTCTGCTCGGCAGATGCTTTATTTTACATATTGGATTTTTCTCGCGTGTTTTCCAATACGTCGTTTTTCTTTAGCATACTCGGTTCTATCTTTGTTCCCTTGCCTTTTGGATGCAAGCGCTTTTTGTTAATATTATAGCCATTAAACTCTTTTTTGTTTGTCACGGAACTCTTGTTGGTGTCTGCGATTATTGGGATCCAAAACCTGATTCGGCTCGCCCACAAATCGTGACAGTCACCTTCGTGCACGAAAGTTCGTTCAATTTCAGCTGCTCAACATTTTCAGTTATTTGCTGTTGTATCAAACATCAAAATGCAAATGATCTGTTTATTTTCAAAGAAGAGTTTGTTTTGTTATTGTTTGGTTGGTGTCTTATATGAAACTGCGACATTGCGCAATTTATTGGACAGACTTGTTTGAGATCACACAGCGTAATTTGGGTGGCGTTTTATTTCGCATTTTTAAATCATCTTTTTATTTTTGATTATCTGTAAATTTAGTTTCCTGCTCTTAATTGTGAATGCATACTTGATGGTTTTAAATGCTCCTGAAATTAAGTGCTGCTTGACGAGGCTATACAGTATTATGTTCATGTATGTGACGTCACTGAAGGCCTAAGGTTGAAATGCACGGCCCGCCACTGAGTACTGTATATGTTGCTCTATGTGACTCGCTGTTGTTTTGCTTCTTCTCGCGGACCATTTGCGGACTTAAAAAAAAAAAAAAAAAAAAA